TTTTTTGTATTGTTGTCAAGTAAGAATTATAAATGTTGTAAAAAATATTGTAAAAAATAAATAAATAAATGATAAGATGTAAAAATTAAAATTAAAAAAAATGATAAAAAATCCCTGTCATGCAGAACATCATTGTCCCTGCCATGTAGGTCATCATCCCTGACTTGCAGAACATCATCATCCCTGTCATGTAGTTCATCAACATCCCTGTCATGCAGAACATCATCATCCCTGAAAGATATTTTTTCAATCTCTGGAATCAATGGAACCCTTCCTTGCATTTGCACTACCTCGCAAAACTTAAAGACGTCTTCGTCACAAATGTTTTTAAGGTGTTTTCGCAAGCCATCCACAGCCATTTTGAACACCATTTGCTTGTGTGGTGAAGTGACATTAGTAGAGGTGTGCACAGTAGGAAAATAACCATAGACATAGCGACAATTGTCAAAGATAAAGAGATTTGAAAACATTTGTCTCTTTTTGGCAGTGTACGCTAATCTTAAAAGCTTTTCTAATACAGGAAATGATGGATGTGCCATTTGACCATAAAGTAGTGAAGCTATCATTTGTGTAGTAACATCTTTGTTTGACACATCAAGAAATTGACGAGATGTGCTATCTTCTCCATCTTCACCAAGAGATTGTATGAGTGGTCCCAGACAGTTTTTAAAATCTTCATTGGAACACTTGTCTATTAAAGCAATCCAATTTGTCAAGAGATGGATCATCAACAACAACAAAATCTTCTTTAAATCCCCCCCGCAGTCTGGGAATACTTCCTTAGCCCATGTTTTGCAGAAAGGATTACTGGATGATTGTACATGTAGACTGTGTCCTAGTTTTCCTAAGTATCTTGGAGGTTGAGCTTCATGGACTGATAAGTCTTGGACGATTTCATGCTTCTCTTGATTCAGTTGGTCTATCTGCTCTAATGTTGATGTCCTTTTTTTCACTAATCGGTTTAACTGGTCTTTTTCTTTTTGTAGTTGTATCAACATACTTTTCACTTCTCTAATAGCTTGCAGCAATATTTCTTCAAGCCTTGCTTCTCTAGTTGCAAATGCCTTCATTAATAAATGATAGAGAGTCTGTATCCCATTCAGCTCTCCTAGTAGTCTGATGTCTCTTTGCTTGTCTTGTAGCTTTTCATTCAGTTTATCTAAATCTTCTAAAAGCTTTAGAATTGACTTAGATTTTCCCCTCAAATCTATCAATAGTGCATGTTTAGCTGACTCTAGATCTTTATCCATAACTGTCGGTAATAATTCCTCTATAGCTTTAAATAAGTCCCTTTTCTTCACAAAACTTTGTTCCAATAAGGAATTCTTCTTAGAGTTAAGCATTCTGTGAGCGGGAATATACATGTAAGCTGTGTCAAGAATTTGATAAAAAATATACTCGCTGTAATTTTCCTCGTCAGTTCTCCCTTTAAGTAACTCTTCATTTTGATGAGGAATCTTATGTGCAACGGAGGTGTTTACAAGCCTGTGCTTCAAATATTCTATTGATAATTCCCTTAAATGTTCCCTTTCGGGGTCGTGAGCAGCTCCTTCAGTCTGCTTGGGAGGGAACGAAAAGGTCGTGATCAAAGCACCTGGTGATGTTAGCTTGTTGTAGAGAAAGACATAGCCGATGACCTTCAATGTTTCCTGTTTTTCAGATGGCAGTGTACCACAAGCATCGAAGTATATGATATCAAACTTTTGTTCAAAATCACGTAGAAAGTCAAGTAAATTTCCTTTGAAAACCTTTGGCATTTTCTGGGATTGATTGATATTCTCCAAGGCTTTTTTTAATACATTAGCATCTTTCTCGATCGCCCACATATTCTGAGGAAGGACGCCATTCTCAACAAAAACATTGAAGTCATTTAAGGGGTTGTCTCCTGCTAGATAACACACATSAAGGTCTGAAGGTTTCTTTTCTTGAAAGTTACTTTTGTGGAAAGCTTCCCAGTCTTTGATTTCGTTTTCGATCTCAGTAACTTCTTGTTCGTTGAAGGAAGATGATGCCCCACTTCCGTGAAATTCTTCCCACGCTTTTCGAACATGATCGCGATTAACACAAGTCGAGGTTTTTCTTTCTGTTGTTTTTGTGAGGGATTTTACGGCTTGTTCAATAAGTCTCCTTCGACATTCTATCTTTTCTTCTTGATTATAATTGGATTGTCCTTGAGAAGAATCCATTCTTTGATCACACTTTGAAGACTAAAGCGAAAGCGAAAGTRTAACGCGCTAGGGGGCTTGCTCCTTCTGAAACTTTTACGTCACGAAAGTCTTGTACAAGGAACTATGGGATACGCTCGGGGTAAACAAACAAAATGGCGGAGTGTCTTGTATAATGTTTTGGTTTTAGTAGTCTCTCGTACTCCATTTTTTCACGTTTTTGCTTTTTTTTAATCAAATGGTAAATGTTAACTGTTATGTTTCTGGTTGCGTGTCCAATAACCGTTCGTATCAGTATTTAAAGTTTTACAAACTACCCAAAGACAAGGCAAGAAGACGAAGGTGGAAAAAGTTGACACGAAATACGCGAGAAACAGATTCACAATGGACCTGTCTGTGTCGACTCCACTTCCAAGGTGGCTGGAAAAAAGAATTTTATTCTGATCCTTCAATATTTCCTTGGAGTCCAGAATGGCCTGATGTTGTGACAAGATACAACAACTACGTAACGGAACGTTTTTCGCTGGCCCAAGGTACAGACCATGGATATGCCAAAGCTCCAAAGCTGATGAAAGTTCCAGCAATTTTCAAGAAGTTTGTCCGTCATTCCAACACCTCTAAACGTGCCTTAAAAAGTGTAAGTATTTTGTAGGCATACAGTATTTTTTTAAATTTTGTTTGAGGCTTTCATGTAAACAAACTTTTGAATTTAACATACACCCGGCATTACATTACATTTTCAGCTCGAGAAAAGTGAAGAAACGTCTACCCTCCCCAACACAGATCAGGAATCAGATCAWACACATTGCCCAGATCTAGAAGAAACTCCGATTGCCTTATCCAAGAATGGCGAAGTTGACTTAAGAGATGTAACGTTTAAAGACACGTCCACAACGATGAAGGTGTGTCTATATATATACAATATACATTCTTATATGAAAATTCAAATACGTTAAAATTAGACTCCCCTGCTGCTAAATTATACTTAAAAACTTGACTATTAAAAAACAATTCTTAAAACGTTCTGTATTTATCTTAGGCCTTGCCAAGGATTGTGTGCGCAGCTTCCTAGAGTACTCTTTAGCTTTTGGAAGGAAATTGGATATAACAGATGTAATGAATTATGTTAAATCTTAGCATAGAGTATGCGGTCACACTGTTCTAAAATATCTAAAATACCTTTAGCATCTAGTTAGAAAACATTGCATAACATTAAGATCTGACGGACTTGCTTCATAAACAGACAGTGCGTAAGTAAATTTAGTAAGTACAAGTGACTTAAATAAGTGATCTAATTCTAGTGGTGTGTAACCCTCCTTCCCTAAATATGTAATAATATATTAACACCTATTTGCTTCCCATAATTTTGTTTTAACATGAGCAGAGTACTTGCAATTGCTTTGTAAAACAATAATAATAATATGTTTTCGTATTCTTATTTTTTAGGTTGCATATTATCCTGATACCTACTTACTCACTAGGAATGAGTTGCAATCCTTGCTGTCCTGTATTGAAGAAAAACTAGATAAAGGAAGTMCAGATGCTTCACAGCTACTAGCCCTTCTAAAGGTTGTCATCAAGTTATTAAGAAATGTCCAAGAGCAGTTAGATGCAGTGATGGAATTGCGGGAATGGGATAAGTTTCTACTCAGGCGCTTTGAGGGTTCTGATGAGGATATTAAGTTTTGGACAGGATTCCCAAGTTTTTCCAGCCTAATTTACTTCTTTAATGGTTTCATACTCCCTAATGAGTCCCATATGAAGTACTGGGGTGCAAATAATACTGGTTTGAAAAGGGAATTCAAGGCAGGCACAGTTCGACAGCTTTCTGCTGTAGATGAATTATTTCTCACACTCATCAAGTTGAAGCGAGCTAGTGCAAATGAAGACCTGGCAGAAAGATAGACATGTTTCAAGTAGACATGTTTCATCCATTGTCATAACATGGGTTAACCTTATGGCAGCTGTTTTCCGGAAAACAGACACTTGGCTTAGTAGGAAAAAAGTAAGGAAATTGATGCCAAGTTGCTTCAAACCACTATATTCTGATGTAAGAATTATTGTGGACTGCACAGAAATGGAAATAGAACGTCCTTCTGATCTTGAGATTCAATGTGCAACATATTCATCATACAAAAGTAGAAATACAGTTAAAAGCCTTGTTGGTTTGTCTCCTACAGGAGTGACAACATTTGTATCTCCCTTGATGGAAGGAAGTGTCAGTGACAATGACATAACTGTTCAAAGTGGTTTGCTTGCCAAACTTCAGAAAGGGGATGCAATCATGGCAGACAGAGGCTGGACAAACAAGTCAACACTTCTCAAGCATGGGATTAGACTAG